CATCTCAGAAGATGAATTTAGACAATGTTTTGAAAAATGGAATGAAAGACTAGACAAGTGTATTAGTGTAAGTGGAGAGTACTTTGAAGAGGATTGAAGGTTTGTGCTTAAAATTTGAATAAATAAGTTAAAAAAAAATAAGTTCGGTTTCTTTTGGGTACCCCCTCGTATGTGGTGTTAACCGACGTTCCTCCGAAACGTCGGTTAACACCACATATACACGGTGCCAAATCCCAGAAGACTGCTTTCTTCATTGTAACAGACTTATTCCTCATGTCCATACCTAAGCATAAAAATGTTGGAAATCACAAAACATATATATTCTCTACAAGTATCAACCTATAGATTTATACACATGTGGGAGACATTAAAAAAGTAAATATGTTGCCCTAAAAAAACACTTAAAAATGCATGTTAATTAGAGAAGTTAGTTACACATACCTACATCAACTACCACTCAACCACCTATCCAAACACATTCTTCCATGAATAACCTCTCAAACTAATCATCTTAGATTATGCAGTGTTTCCAGGTTAAGAAGTGTCTAGATATTAAGTTTTCCCATAAAATACATATGGTTTTCAAAGTCTCACCAAAACACTCGAAAGAATAGCATTACAATTTCTCACGTATAAAGTTACTGTATATAACATTTTCCTGTTTAGAAGTTCACTTTGTAACAAACATTTTAGAGAAGTGCTGATTCAGTAAGTTTAAAAGGCTTCAAAATCATTCATTTCTCAGTAGCTGAACTGCACCACAGTTGATAACAAATTGGGGACTNGCAGTTCAGATTAATTGGTTTATTTAACAACCTACAAGTCGTAACTACAAATACTTACGACACTGTTACGGGTTTACACACTTTACAAAACCCTACTCACAAATCTCTTCAACTATCTTCAGTACAACACATGTTCCATTCTTCTTTCCGTGACTGCTGCTATATTTCAACTGCTCCGGCAAATGCTAGACTTCCACTGCACTGCTTAGGTATTCCAGTGTCTCTTATAAAGCTTCAGCCGGACAGCAGAAAACGCAACTTGCTTCTCTGTTGCGTAATCACTGTGTTTACCAATTGCCTAGCTAAAGTCGCTGCATGGGCTCGCCTGTTGTGTGATGTCACAGCCTAACGGGGAGGGGGGGGGTACCGAGCGTTGCGTAATGATGAAAGGCGTGGGGGTATGTGACGTCGCTCGTGGAAACGCAGAGTTCATGTGACCCTTACTTCATGTTGCACCATCCACATCACACTATATATATATAAAGTGGAAGGAAATTTGAACATATGGAATTTTGAGGTGGTCCATTATGAATAGTGTTTTATTAATATTTTGTTAGCAATAAAAAAAAAATAGAAGCTCTGGTGTTGCTAATGTATTTTCATGTGTCCTGATATAATACATCTGTGTTTCTTTATAATTGAAATGTTATGAAACAATTGCTTGAGAACAAAATTCAAAAGTGGATACAAAATACAAACCTAATTTTACATTTCCCTTAAAAAGTTCAGTCTCCCTGATCTTTTTATCATGGAAACGTTATTTTACCCATGTCATCATCCTTTGACAGTGTTTTGTTCCTTATTATCATCCATCATACTTGACTCAACCTCATTATAAAGTTGTCTCCATTCTCAAACTACAGCAATAAGTACCCCTTCGTACAATGTAATAGAAGTGATGTTGCCCTTGTACTTACTTCAGCATAATGTGATGAAAATACTGCATCACTTCCAATATAAGGTGCCCTCAAATTAAATGTGAATCCAGTTTTTTAAACGTGTATCTCAGGAAAAAAATTAGAAAGGTGCACATTACTCGAACTTAGGATGCACCTCAAATTTTTCAAGGGGGGAAAAATGTGCAAAATGTGTCTTACATATTTGAAGTAATATATGATATATCAAAGAGCATAGTTAAATGACCATGCATGCTTAATTTTGCCACTACATTCTATGCCACATCCATTAACTTAAATATATTGCAGATCTGATGCACTAAAAAAAAAAAGTAAAACTATCCCTGTAACAGGCCGTGAAGTCCCATATGGTTCTGAGACGCTGAGGGTCCAACATTATCTAGACAATCGGCTCAAACATGTTGGTAAGGTCAGCCTTACGCGCCGGTCGCGCTTTACTCCCCAGGAAAATTATTTAATTAATTCCTGGTACTCATTTCTGTTAGAGGCTGAGTCAACCCCAGGGCCATAGTACGGCTGGAACGATTACGTCAATTGAAAAAATCCAGTGACCTCATAGTCATAAATAATGTATACTCAATCCTATGAAGAACTAACCTCACAAGAACATTAGGAACTTCTTGATCTGGCTCCAGTACACTAGATTTAGCATCTTTGGTTGCCTCTTTATCTGTACCAGATGCAATCTGCATGCAGATATCCTCCTTAGTTCCGCCTTCCTCAGAACCACTGGCACCCTCCTCTTCCTCATCAGAGCACTCCTCCAGCCGCACTCCACAGTGCTTACCATTCTCACAGAGACTTCGTTTACCTGAACAGGGACAATATAATGTAAGAAAACAAGAAAATCTCATACAGCATTTACTGTGTAACTGCCTCTAAGACATACCTATAACTATCATGAAATAAAGTCCCTCCTCCCAAACAAGTCGCCTCTCTTTTCTTTTAGCACATCATTATCATGGTATATGGCACAATCATCCTTCCACTTACTTGTTCCAGTGCATTGATAGATGGCTCTGATTCCGCACTTAAAATGAACTTTACCTAACCTTGCATTCAAACTGTTTATGGCTACTTACTTAATTTCGAACCTTTTATGCTGCAGCCTCTCTTTTCCCTGTTCACCCTTCCCAGCCTCTCCCCACCCAAACAGACTGTTTATCTCTGTGATGGTATACATTTCCAGGAAAAGTTAACTTACTCTGTTTCAAAACAACATATTGAAATTGTTCTGGAACCATACAATTCCCTCATTCTTGATATAAAGTAATAAAGGTGTTAAAATGGACCAATTATGCAAGTAATTTTACATTTCTGAATGTGCTTCAAATACTTGCTTGAGAACTGGCCCTTTCCTTACTGCAAGAGACATCTTGTAATACTGGCCAAGCCTACCTGACTCTTGACTTCGGCAGCGGTAACCAAGTTTGAGATGGACAATTAGGTGGAACTGATACCTCAGGTAACTAATTTGATTATGGAATTGTGTGGATTTCTTAACACAGACAGTAGAGTTTCATTTTTGTCTTGGAGGACACATTTACACACCTATCATGCACCATACAAGCCACAATGGGTCACTCTGGTAATGGAATTTTATGTGCTCAGATGTCATGAATTTATATCCTAGAATTTGAATTACTGGAGCCCCAAGGTAGTAAGACACAATAACATATAGACAAATCTACAGTGTGTGATTTAGATCAAATTCACAAATATTAAATTATTTTTAATAAATTTCTGAAGCTGAAACAAGGCACCATGGCCTGTACTGCCGATGCATGAGCCCTGTAAGTGGTTCTACATGGTGTTTGATACTAATGTAAATCCCTAATTTGCAACTGGTTATTTTAAAAGGACTGCTCACTCTTAGACTGAATGCATAAAACCCTACTGGATAATTCTAACCAATGCATTCTCACAGCCGAAAGCTACCCCCTCCAGGCCTGACTTACAATGGCAGATGGAAGAAAATGGTGCCAAATGCAAGGCCCAAACCCAGAACCCTGAGATTAAAAGTCTCAAGAGACAGAATCAAATCCCTTAATACCTGAGCTGCCAAATCCAAAGAATCCCATAATTAAAATAATTATACAAATTATCTGATCCACCTAACTACCAACCCCCAACTCTGTTAGAACTGCCCTAGTCAAGAGTCGGTTAGGCCTGGCCAGTTATACTGCTTAGCAGGGCTGGCCCTCCTTGGATTTACTTTCTGAAGGTCAGTGAAACAAACATGTCCCACCATCTCTCACAGACAACTAACTGTCCTTTTCAACAATTAAAATCGAAGTAGAAAGGTTTAAAAAAATTGGTGGGAGGAAAATATTGTATTATACATATACCACACTCTCCACTTTAAGAAAAAAGAAAATTATATAATTATTATTATCAAAATATTCGCAAATCAATGAAATTATTACCGCTGCTGTGTCTGTTTTACCATCAGTTTTAGCTTTAAAACAAATTTAGAAGAAACATGATTCCCTGGAAATTCATTTAAGCCAATCAACAACTGTATTATCAGCACAACAAATTATTCTTTTACTTTAGTTACTACAGCTAATAAGATTATTTGTCATTTTCATATGCTCATGATGGTCTTCAAATTTTTTATTAAACTGAAAATCTTCACACATTTTACCTCATACTATTCTACTGGTAAACATCAGGAAATAATTATGCAAACAAATGCAGAATACAGGATCAGACTGTTCCTAGTATTCCAAAACAAATAAAGCCACACACCCTGAACACACTTCTTGACTTTTTTCCGCTTTCTTAATATTTTCCTTCTTTTCTTCTTAAGTTTCACTGGAATTTCTTCTGTACCCGACTTCTCGGCATCTGCATCAGCCTCATTATCGCTACACATCTGCCTTTTACCACCATGGTACTTGGAATTTGGCACAATATCAAGCTTTCTACAGACTGACTTTGTGCTTTCATCTGGTTTCGCACTTGAAGGCAACCTGAGACACACATTCAGGAAACATTAATGTTTATACCTACATTTACATTAAAGTGCAACGTGAGGTTACATGCTATAGAAATACACCTGTAAGTAAAAAAGACGAAGCTCTGTTTTATAATAGATTATTTAATGAGACTTTCACTATCAGACTACATAATGTCAGATGATGGGATGACTGACGAACTAGAATGGATCTGAAGGGGGCAGTTATGGCATAATTAAGGTAGTATCCCAGCATCTTCCTAAAGGAAACGAAAGAAACCACAAAAAACTTCAGTCAGAATGGCCAGAGCTCTGCCTAAGATTTGAACTGGCACCTACAAAATAAAAGCCCAAAGCAATACCTTTAGACCAACTTATTCATTGTCTTTCTTTGTTACATAATTAGCAATGCACGTAACAAACTCATTGGCATAGGATCAAACTGTTCAAAGAACATGACATTGTGAAGTCTGAGGGGATTATGACTGGCACTATAAAACCCAAACACTCAGCCCTATCCTAAGCAAGTTCAATCTACTTCATATGCTCATAAGGCAAAGATTAAATACACTACTTTCACTTATCTGAAATGTTCTCTATTTAGGAACACAAAAGGGTGTATTTTATATATACAGGAAGTTCAATGATAAAGGAATCTTGGCAGCAGCATAGGAGACACAACATTTCTCATAGATTGCTGCTGTAACTGCCGATAACAGAACGAGTCATTAGTGCTGATAAATGAGTGCCATCAGGTGGTCTGATCTTGTCATTGCACTAAGTTACGTGTTTATCAGCGCTAATGACTCATTCTGCTATTGGCAATTACAGCAGCAATCTGTGAGAAATGTTGTGTCTTCTCTACACTGCTGTCAGGTTTCCTCTATCACCGAATGCACTGTATATATTATAGCAGTATCAGAATGGGCCTAACTTTTCACTGCCATGATGGACAAAGGTCAGACTCAAATACAACATGTAAAAGGTTACAGTGAGCCAAATATTGTGGCCATATTCTGCTGTCTACATTCAAATCAAACATAATCTCCTGTTGTGCCCACTCCTAAAAGAGACGTGTCTTCCTCTAATGTGACTAAACCATTAATTTCATTACCACATGTGGTACAACAGCCCTCACAAGTGTGGAAAGCTCAAGAGCTACTGGAATTCTGAATTCATTTATACTGTTGTGTGAGCTGAGAGCAGGTGGGAGCATCTATGCACGCCTCTCTTTTTGACATATAAGGACTCCCCACCCGTTTGGCATCTTGATTCTTCACAAGCTGTTTAGCTCACACTGATGACCAATGACTGAGAACCCATGAGTCTTGTAGAATGACTGCAGCCATAGAACTATGGTTGCAAGTCCAGAAGAGAAGAGTCTGATTTCAGTCTTGCTTAAGAATGATACCTACTGTCAGACTATAGCTGTTTCGAATAAAGATAAACATTACTCGCTGCAACAATCACAACTTTATTCAAGCAGTAAGTTGTGCACATCTGGGCTCAATTCCCCATTACACCATGTTATCTATGAGAATTGCCAATTCTAGGGCATGTTTCGTACATATGCTATGTTTTCTTCTTGTGCAAACTATCTGCATATGGTGAAGGGTACAAACTATTAAGATCCTCAATATGTAATTTTGATCACTGGTTCTTCCTCTCTCTTATGTCCAAATATCTCCTAAGCACTCTGTTCTCAGACTCCTTCATTCTATATTCTTCCCTTAGTGAGAGGAACCAAGTTTCACACTCATACTATATATACTATATATTTGAATAATTTCACTCTTCAAGTTTCTGGATAAGAGATGGGGGCAACAAAGAATTCTGAACTAAACAGCAACAAGCATTCACTGAATGCAATCTGCTCTTAATTTCTTCATGACTGGAATTTCATCAAAGATACAGTAAAGACAGAAAAATGAGTGAGAAAGGGGCATCACCTGCATACAATATCACAGTGCAAGTAGTTTGAAATGTACCCATAAATTTAAGCATGAAGACCTTAAAAGAAAGAGGGCACATATTCCTTTATTCTCCATCTTATCTTCCAATTTACCTACTTACATTCAATCTCTCTCTCTCTCTTCTGTGGTATAAGAAATTCCAAAGCTTCTATGGAAATCAAAAGAATCACAAGTCGCTTCAGCTGCATACCATGCACCCTACCCTAACCACAATAACCTACATATCCTGTTATGTCACTCTATGAAGATTTCCCACCAAAATTCTGCAAATATTATGTTTACCCTAATGAACAGATGTAGCTAGGATGTTGTTAATTATTAAGGTCTACAAGGTTTCATGTTCTGCTTACTGCTGTTTGTGCTGTGCCATGCATTTAGGAGCACCAAGAGAAGACTCTTTAGTGTCACCCTCACTGTGCTCATCTTTCTCTTCATCTTCCTCATCTTCTTCTTCCTCCTCCTCCTCCTCCTCCTCCTCATCTTCATCCTCCTCCTCCTCCTCCTCTTCCTCTTCTTCTATGTCCAAATCCTCAATTTTAACACTGCCTAAAATGTTCATGTTTCATCATACTATAACACACATATGTATGGTGGTGGAAACATTTGTTACAATTCTATGAGCCTGCCAACGTGTTACAGAAGCAGGAATAAAAGAGTTATAACATCACACCAAAATTATGTCAAACAATACTAATTGCCTGAATTAACTAACTTCATGGTGGAAAGTTCTTGAGAAACTAACAGTTATTCAGCTAGACAAGAATATTTCCTGCCCTTTACAGAACTCAAAGGTTCAATACTATATCATAACAGTCTGCACACAGTCCATATGCTGAACCAAATGATCCACTTTAATATTATCCTCTCATCTGTGCATCTACCATGGTCTCTTCCATCCAGGTTTTACACATAAAACATCATATGCATTTTTCATCGTTCCCATGGATGCTACATACTGCCCCTATCTTAACCTCCCTGACTTGAGCATCCTAATAATATTCAGCCAAAATTAACAATTACAAAGCTCCTTATTACGCAATGTTCTCCAACCTCCTGCTATTTCCTCCTTCTTAGGTCCAACTGTTTGCCACGGTACCCTGATCTCAAACACACTCTATGCCTACATTCCTTGCTTAATATGAGAAATGAGCCTTTGCAGATATACAAAACAACAGGCAAAACCATACTTTTTTATATTGCAATCATGTTTTTGCTTAGCAGATGGTATAACAAAAGACTCTAAATTGAGAACAAAACATTTCCTGGATCAAAACTGTTCTTAATGTTCTTGTAAATATTTTCATTTTTGTTTCTATCATTTCCAAATATTTAAACTTTATGACGTTTTCAAACAATTTATTAGCCAACTTTTCACTACAATCTTGATCTGGTGATGAAACAAATAATACAAATATACTTGAGTTTGGGCCACACCATAGCTCAAGCAGTTAGTTGCTGGCTTCCCACTGCAGCAGCCTGGATTCGATCCTGGGTCTGATCAAGTGGGATTTGTGGTGGACAAAGTGGCGCTGGGGCAGGTTTTCTTCAAGTACTTCGGTTTCCCCTGTAAATCTTCATTCCACCAACTGCTCCACAATCACCCTCACCTATCATCTGAAGCTGGTACATTAGGCCAGAAGTGGCTGCAGTACAAGGGACTTAGTCCTACCCCACTAGCAATAAAAAAATACTTGAGTTTCCTCTAGGTTTACTTCTAGACAAATCTCCTTACTAGTGTGTAACAGTGCTTCCACATTTCTCTCTATGATACTTAAGTCTTTGCCCAACATTATCAGCATACATCAGAAGATGTGTCCTACTGAATTTCAATCCCTTCTGGTTGTCTTGGACCTCCATACTAACCTATTCTACAGAAAACTTGAAAAACGACACTAATGCACCCCTGTTCCATTCTGTATACAAAATACATTGCAGATACAATTGTCTGACATATATGTTTCAGATATTAGCTTCAGATCCACCTGTAAGACACTGAAGGTCATCTTCACCATATGTTTACTGTTTTATTTCTTACGAGTAGATTAATGGCAATGGCCATAATTCAAACTTGAAACTTATGAATACTAAACTTGGGCCAGGTTCAGTTCTGTTGCCATCAATTTGAAAAACAGGGCTGTCTGTAAGAATAACGACAACCAATCACCTGATGATGGCAGCACAGCCAACTCCAAACACCTTCTGTACACTAAATATATCTCAAACAATTGACAAAGTACAATACAATCATTGTGAAATGAATCAATCTTTACAGAATCATCAAAGTTATTGCAACAGAATTTTCAGAACTTTTTAGAAGCACAAGAGGGGAAGACTTCTAGAGGGGGAACTTTACAAAAACCAGAAAATGTTATAAAGTAAGGGACATTTCTGTATGCATGATTTCAAATTGTCATGGTGACTTTATGAGATAATGTCTTGTCAGGTCAGCCACATGAAGAAGTATACAATATTTCTGAGACTATCTGTGTGTCCATTATTATGGGTTGATGTGATGCGTAACAGCACCTGCACAGCACGCTCCTGGCTGTTCTAACATGGACTGCGGAGGGAATAATGGGCAGTCAGATGTTCAGTGATGTCATGTCCTTGAACAAAGCAGTAGGTGAACAGTGAGTGGAGTCATGTGATTACCCTGGACACTCCAGTTTGCTAGCCGTCATGAAAGTTGCGAGCATACTTCATGGGTATAAGAAATAACATACGGCTGTATCACTCAACACGTGATCCCCTAATCATGATGACAGAGACAGTCTCTGAAACACTGGATATTAACACCATCTTCATACAGCCAACTACCTGAATAGACTTCACTGCAAAATTTCTTTATGTACAAATTACTAGAACATTGTATTGAACTTATTCAACATTTAACACATTCGGATAGCATTTGTATTTGACAGCAAAAACTGTATTTATCCTGGTGCCTACAATTTCATCTCTGCCCATACATAATATTACATGTAGTATCAATGTGAAGTTATAACATCTGCATTTGATCATTAAATTCAAAAAGAGGACACCATGGACAGCTATGCTTTGAATGTCTGAGGATACACAACAAAATTAAACTTTAATATAGCTCAGTGGGTGCAGTCATTATGCTACAGGCTGGATGACTGAGGAATTAGTATTTACAGGGGTTAAAAATTTTTTCTTCTCCTTAACATCCAGACTGGATCTGAGGCCCACCGAGCCTCCTATACAATGGATACTGAGGGTTGTTTCCCCAGGTGCATGATGCTCACAACTCACCTCCATCTAATGCCAAGAAAAATAACTGCAGAAATATACCGCCACTCTGAGACATCCTCATGCTTCATTAATTAAGTACAGGAATGACAACATAACAGGGTAGATAATGCAACAGCTCAAGTGATCAGCTGCAAACTTCTCAGCAGATTTAATTGCAAGATGGTTCGTACAGAACTGATGAATACACCAACTATGGGACCATTTTTCTCCCCAAATGCTTTTCAGTTTCCATTTAACAATCACCATTTTTCCAACATGGTCCTTAAATGGGGCTTCATCTCTGACCGAGCACTTGGTGGGATTCAGTTTATACAAGTCAACGTAAAAATTCAAAGCACAAGAACATGTTCAAATTTTCAAACACTAATGACTGAGTTCTGAACACTCCAATACTGACATTACAGTCATACTTACCATCAGAACTTGCAGCATCTGCCACATCATGATGTACATGCTTCTTATGCTTTCTTGCTTGTTTACATGATGAGGGGCCATCACTAATTTCACTAGGTGTCTTGTGGGCATCACTCTGCTGTGAACTATCTGCCTGCAATCAAATATGTCAAGCTTCTCTTTCTCAGCAAATTCTGTATTTGCCATAAAGATTCTTGGTTGGTGGTTTACAGCAATATTACAAAAACACTTTTTAAATTTTCAGAGAATATGAATATATGAATAGACTGGAATATTCCAAATACATCATTCAGTGTATTTTCTTCCTTAAGGTAAAAAACTGGCTTATAAGATTGCTGCGCTGACCATATATGCCTGTGTGTCATGTGTGCGCTGTGTGCACATATGATGGGGTACCCAAAGGAAACCGAACTAATTTTTTTGTGGGCAGAGCTTTTGTACTACCGCGTTTTGACGCTATGAGCAGATAGAGCTAACATTCCTGAGTCGATAAGCCGACTACTGTTGCTTCAAAAGGTAAGGACTAGTTTCGGCAGAGTTTATAGTGACAACTGTTTTGTGTGATTGTTGTTTTTGCAATGGCAATGGCAATGGTTTTTCCATCATGACAATGCCCCTGCTCACACAGCCCTGTCTGTATGACAATTCTTGACCAAAAATGGTATGACCCCTGTTCCTCACCCTCAATACTCACCCGACCTTGCCCCGTGCAACTTTTTTTTGTTTCCTTGAATGAAAAGAGACATGAAAGGAAAGCGTTTTGCTGATGTTGCTGAGGTGAAGGAAAAAACGACGGAGGCGCTGTCAAGCATCTCAAAAGATGAATTTAGACAATGTTTTGAAAAATGGAATAAAAGACTAGACAAGTGTATTAGTGTAAGTGGAGAGTACTTTGAAGGGGATTGAAGGTTTGTGCTTAAAATTTGAATAAATAAGTTTAAAAAAATAAGTTCGGTTTCTTTTGGGTACCCCCTCGTACATGTCCAATTGTGACTTTTGAACCAAATGACTGATTTTCCTGACATTCAGAATGAATCTTCAGTCACTGGAAGTCATTCATTCGGAATGTTACATGGAGGACACATGACTTTGTGAGGTGGGAGCAAAAGTAGTGACATTCCTTGAAAAATATACTGTAACAGATCTTAGAAAACATATGTTTTGTTCAATACAGAACAAAATAACAGCTGCATGAAATGTGTTTCTAGCTTTTGGTCTGATGGCAATAACTAATGAATCATTCAAGAAAGGTATGTGAAATGTGATATGGAGATGGAAAATATACACAACTACAAAATCTGTTATGAAATACTGTATTTCATAAAAATTAGAAACATGGTGATGGCACAAAACTCTAAGGTTAGCTCCAACAGTTTTAACACTGCCCCCCTCTGTGGTTTTAGTCTGCAAGCGAACTGAGCGACTGAGCAACCGCTGCTTGTCAGCGAAGTTAGTGCCAACTTTAGCAGACAGAGGGTGTCGAGTGGTTAGTGCAATGAATCCTCATGGCTGTCAATTTCCGGTTTCTAGGCAGGAGCCACTATTTCCTTGAAATAGCTCCTCAATTATCGTCATGAGGCTGAGTGGACCCTGTTCCAGACACACTACTTCTCGGAAAAAATCTGGTAGCTCTGAAAATCGAACCTGAACCTCTGGATCTGCAGCCAGAAACTCTGACCACTAGACCACAGAGGATGTCTACAATGGCCCCATGCACAAAAAAAAACATCATTCCTTTTATATAATTATTATTATTATTTAATTACAAATTAAATATTAACTAAATATAGCATTAACAATATGACATGTCGGGTGGATGTCTGTGCAACAAAAATAGTCTTTAAGAGGACTACCCAAAGAACACTGAAACAATACTGACAATGCATAAAATGGTATGCTTACAATGTTAACAGTAGCACTTCAGGTAATTCAACATTTTCTCACGCATATGTCAGTTTCTAACAGTGGACCAAATACCTGTTCATCCTCTGAATTAGTGGCCTCCATACTGACACTATTCTCACTGCTGCTCATCTCACGGTGTCTACCTTTCAGGCCAATGACCGAGGTTTTCCCAAGACCCAAAAATGGAGCTTCACTCGTTATTTGGCTATAGGTACCACCACTGGTCCATATAAACTTGATTAGTGCTGATGCAAGATACAAGCTCTGAAAAAAAAGTCACACAATATGCCAAGCATCCTAACGATTAACGATTCTTGAAATTTAATTAATTTTCAACTCTTCTGTGCTACTATTCAATGGATCTACTAAGACATGTGCTTCACTGTAATACTTTTACACCAATTTCCAAATCATGAAAATATGTTGAAATAATTACAGACAGAATTTAAGAATACAATGAATTTGCCACCCATACTTATGAAATGTGTACTGGTTTAAAACTGTAAAATTATGGTACTGAAATATCAATTGTAAACTGAACAAAACGAGAAAGTTATACTCAGAATTTTTTTTATTGCTAGTGGGGTGGGACTAAGTCCCTTGTACTGCGGCCACTTCCTGCCTATTGTACCAGCCCCTGATGATAGGCAAGGGTAATTGTGGAACAATTGGTGGAATGAAGATTGGCAGGGAAAACCGAAGTACTAGGAGAAAACCTGCCCCAGTGCTATTTTGTCCACCACAAATCCACTTGACCAGACTCGGGACCAAACCCAGGCTGCTGTGGTGGGAAGCCAGTAACTAAATGCTTCAGCTATGGCACACGGCCCCCCTCCTTGGTGTCTCCACCTTATCGTGGTGAGGGGGTTTGAGTATGCCAAGGACCCTGAGAGCTATACCAGCGGTAGCGTAGCTACTGGCAGGGCCTCCCTTGCTGGACAGGTCAAAGGGTAGGCATCAGACGAAGAGAGACACCAAAAACTGATGTCGGAAGCAGCGTCATCAGCAGCGACTTGAAGCACAGAGCAAATGATGCTCGAGATGGTTCAAGTTCGTATAGCAACAGGCGTGACCAGAGTGGTTTGAACGGCTGTTGTACTGCGATGTGGAAAGCAAATGGAAAAACTACCACATTATCACTTTTCCTGGATAGTCTCTTTCCAAAAACAGAAGATCGCATTAAGTGGAGAAACTGTTTTGGAAGAGACTGTGGACCTGTCGTCTGACAGATTACTGATGATGATGATTACTGATTACATTACTGGGTTGCGGACTTTGTCAGTCATCCAGTATTCTAGAAACTAGAAAACACGTTTCAGAAACTGGATCTGTTTCCGTCCTCAGGTGATGGGAGAGACATCTGGTCTGTTGGGTCCCTTAGATAGAGCTAACCTCAATCACTGTTCCAACAGAGTAGGTGTTTCCTATCTCATCTGAGGATAGACATAGATCCAGTTTCCAAAACGTGTTTTTTAGTTTCTACAGTACTGTAATTCTGAGTATTATACACCATCATCAGAATCCTTTAGGATTTGAGAAAGTTATAGCAATACAATAAACAGTAGCCATTTGCTTCAATATGGAATGGATGTAATGTTGGACCTCTCACGCCAGGCTCTTCTAAGTGCCACCTGGCAGATGAATGAATTAAAGTTGGATTCACATCCAACACTACCTCTGCCCTTCACTAAAACAGTGATAAAGTATCACTTACTACAAAATCTGTTTCCAGTCAGACTGCCAATGTAATTGGACACCAGTGATGGTTATAGTGGTGCTTGCAATTAGTCAAAACCAAAATTTACTTGTGTGATTTTCTTACTTTACTTTCTACACCAAATTTGGTCCATGATATTCCCATAGCTAGAACTTATGGCAAATATAAGGCTTGGAGTAGGGTATGAAGCCCTGTTGAGAAAATGATAGCACATTACTGTCTGACACAATAGTGTAAAGCATTAATTTCATGCCACCTTCTTGGACAACAATGTCAAATGTCCAGCGATTACATTCATCCAATATATAAACAAATCAATTACACAAGGAAGATTTAATAGTACAATTCTGTGGTAACTATGTATACCACCTGTTTTATCATACAGTAACTCACCATTTAGCCCACAGAACATATTTATAGACCTTGCTTGATTCTCACATTCTGCAGTAACTGTGACTCAACATCAACAAATTTTTAGAATATGTCTGCAGTACCTTTTTGGGTGTAAAAACTGAAACTGTATGAACTATTTAGATTAACTTTGCCCCTTAAAGAAACAACAATGTGCAAGTATGCAGGGTACACTTAACACGAGAATTTGAAAGAAATGTAAATGAGAAAATTATGACTATAATGAACTCTTCCTATATAAACGAACATTAAATTAATGTGCAGGTGATATTAGAAATTAGCAGAAACTCAAAACTACAGACTGAATGAATGCATACTCAGTATTGAGGCTTCACTGTTATAGTGCAAAAACAAAATTAAATATATATAAATTAATATATTGTGGCATATTTTATCAAGACAGAATTGAGAAGCCAGCAGAGACAGCCACTGCCAGGAAATGGCTCTGCAAACAATGGCTGTTTCTAAGCAATGGTTCAGTAGCAATCATTTGGTCACCCCAACAGGCACAAATGCAACAATGGAGTAACTGCGGGAAGCAGTGTTTTCTATGCAGTCCGTGCTGAGATATTACAAGTAGGACCAGTTAGCTGCTGGAGTTAGAGAACTGCTGTGGTTCAGTCGTTGCTAGAGCTGTTGCTGTTAGAAGCTGGTAGCTGAGGCTGGGAACAGTTCAGGAACCCAGTGGAGAGGGAAGGACTGCCGCTGGATGCCGCTATCAAGCAATGGCATTAAAGATGCGAATGTGTACACTAGTGTGTAATAGTGAAGTGTAAAGGCTAGTCATGCACTGTACCAAAGCGTGTAATAAATCTGGTCAGCAATAGTCACACTCCATACATATTACAATATGCTGAAAGCAATTCTGTAACACAGCACAACATTAACAGAGTACAATCAATTTCATCTAACAAACTAAAATTCAATAAAGCCTTCCCTTTGTTTTCATAATTTCAACTGAGTTAGGAAGCCGTGGTTGGCTGGTCAATATGGAAGTTCGGAAATGTATTCAAAATATCAAAGTTATTTACTTATCTCAAAAACTGTAAGACTTGAAATGAAACTGTATCAGACATATCATGTGCTTCATTTTTCTCTACAACTATCATTCAAAACATTTTTCTCCTCAATAAATATTTAGCAAGATATATGAATAAACATATGCATCATTTCACATAAAGTGGTCCTTAGTTTTTCAATATAAATTCAAATTTTCAAACCAAAAATTTCAAGGAAATTCACAGAGCTCTCAAGTCAGTCTGTGGAAATATACAGATGGAGTCAGTGAAATTAATACATGCTCTGCATCTTACCTGTTCTGTGTGGTCCTTTGGTTCTAGTTTGCACAGTAATCCATATAAATGCAGTACGGGGCCAGCTTCCAAATTCTTAATAAGTGGAGGTAGGAGATCGTGGACCTGTTTACTGCAATGCTTCAGCTGTGCAGCTTGCCAGATAACATCTATGTGCTCATTTGTTATTTTACATTCCATAGCTAAGAAACTTAATATTACATGGCTCTGTTTGATTACCTGGAGAACAGAAAACATACCATAGCTTTTTTATAGATACTCTGTTTTATCAACTCAGCTTTTGTAGGTGTTCTGAACTATTAGCAGTTCCAATGTTTTCCATCTTGATGACCTCCAACCATTTTCACTCAAGTGTCAGATGATGTCTAACTTCATACATTTCCCTATATTGTCAGTCACTGAACTGGATCCAAACATGACTTCATCTCTGAATACAGTACACATCTATTGCAAAAAAATTCACTTCTGCCATCCAACACCTCAAAAATTTTCTCAAGAAAACCATATTTTTCTACTAAAATGTACACCTTCCTGAATGTCCATAGCAATATAATGCCTTCCATGTGTAAACAGTACAGACTGCAAGAAGATTCTGAAGTCCAAATCCAGTTTCCAACATGTTGTTCTCTAGCTTCTAGAATACCAGACAACACATAAAGTCCAAACACCCAGTAATTCTGAGTACAGATGGCATTTTTAAGCAGAAAGTCTGCATGTGGCCCTGACACAGATATGTTGGCCAACAGTAATTATAATCATGATTTGGAATGCAGTGTGACAACTACAGTAATGATAATGACAATGATAGTGACATTGTCATTGGTAGTGATTAAAGCAGCAATGAAAGTGAAGATGGAGGTACTATCTGAAATGATGGACAGTGTGAATATCTGCAGGAACACGAACTTCTTAAAATTCTATTACATTGCTCTGCAAAATTAACTGCAGACAGTAAGAGAGCATGAAGGTGGAACTGCACAACTTTCTACAATCTTTTACAGACACACTGCTAACAACAATGGTCAATGAAACAAACATATACGTATGGGGAAAATAAAAATGTGAGATCCTCTGTGGCCAGTCTTCGTCAGGAAATGAAGAAAAACTGAATGGCATGTTTCGTTCCAGCACAAAAAATGAAGACAAAAATATGGATTGGGCAGTGATCAGACCAAGATGCTGTACTTCTGCAAAACACATCTCCAGTTTGAGTGTTTCAAGAAATACCACACTCAGAGAAAGTACAAGTGACTCATAAATATTTTGTAACTCTAACAGGGTAAATATCCAAATTAACAAACTTCGCATAAATTAATACATACCAAATTTCAGGTAAGCTTGGTGGGCCTCAGAGCAGTTCTAAATTAAAATGAAAACTCCCAATACTACCACTGTCTGGCATTGAACAGAGATCATCCTGAAAGATGAGAGCCATTCTGCAGAATGTAGCACCCAACTGTCCCATTTCTGTTTTCACAGCTATTTCAAAGTCTAAATGAAATGACACAGACTAAATGCATGAAGAAATTAATAAGTGGCCGGCACGGAATTTGGAAGTGTGAAGGGGTAAGAGGACAACTATGAAAATTAAAGTAACAACATGCTAAGATGGCAAACTGCAAAGGACTGATGATGATCATCGAACAAAAAAGAAATTACTTAAGTGATCCTGATCTCTTCAACTTGATTTCAGTAATAATATACAGTGAAGAGTACAGACTATGAAATTCCTTACTGTACAATTATCTAAACCATCCCTGTTATTTCCTTGTGCTTACAAACAAATATTCTCCTCAGAAATCTGTTCCAAAATGCTCTCAAACTAAACTCTACATAAGAGGTCAAGTTTCACACCCACACAAAATAATGGGTAAAATTATAGTTTTTCTTCTAATTATAATCATTACAGTTTTATATAGGAGACAACAGGATAATTCTGAACTGAATGGTAGCAAGCATTCTTCAAATTGAATCACTCCTTAATTTCTGCATGAATGTAATTTTCATTTGTTACGGTCATTGACAAATATTGTGTTTCCTTCAAAGGCCCAATGCACTTGGAGTGAGTTTCTACTGAACAATGATATCCATAAAATGTGTCTGGGTGGGTTTCTGCTAAACCTCCAACACACTGTTATTGCTTACTATATACATACCAGCAACATGAAACAATCAGCTCAAATTCTTACATTATCCACTGCATATTTCTTCCATACAGTCTGACGATAATACATACCTCTACATGAAGATTTGGACCAAATATGTGGGATATTATCTGATTTTCAGTCAACCAGTTTGCTAAGTTTTGACCCACATTTTCAACTTCTATTATGCTTTCATTGTTGCACAGTTCATTGAACATGTTAATATGACTGTTAATTTGAGTAATTCCAGCCAAACGCATGGTCAGTGTCGAACTTGTGAAATATTTAAATGCTAAATCCAAACCATCTCGATCAAATGTTAATGGAGAATCAAGAGGGTCCTTCACTGCACTCCACATAAAATCTGAATAACAAACAGAGCAAACATTATGATACCTTCATTCTAATACAACTTTTCCGCACCCTTTGCTATTACTGTTTTGAATGTTTCTGGGTCTTTGTGAGATGTTCAGTAAGGCAATTCCATTATGGCTCATCACCAAGGCCCAGATTTTGATGACCTGAAAATATTTTAAAAAATGACTGAAAAAATCCAGAAAAATGACCTAAAGGAGAAAAGAAGAACACTTCTCTTCCATGTTATTCACATTTCAGAAAACATATGAAGTAAAATTCCCTAAAAAGGCCAAAAACAACAAGAAATACCCTTAAAAGTCCAAAAATTTACCAAAAAAAATACCCCAAAAATGAAAAAATTACCTTAAACATAAAAATGTCAAAAAATTACCTATAAAATTTACATTTCTGTAACCAGCAGCTCATATCCGAGATTTATATATTTAAGAGCATCGCATACGATACAAGGAAAAAAAGATGACATGTCATCAAAATTCTGGCCCTGCTCATCACAAATACTATTCATGTTTACTGTACAACATGTCCCTGATGAAATCCGGATATACAGACACAGCATGATTTACGCAACTTTTGTTTTATGTGACCCAACACCCCCCACCCAAAGTTGCAGATGCTGAAACTATACAAAAACAAGTAAATACTGAACAAAAGGTATCCTTATCCCCTTGAAAGTGATAACAGCAAAAGTGCAAATGGGCCAAATTTTCCCTTTTTCCCTTACAGGTCTTTTCTTTTTATTTGGTTACTTAACAACGCTGTCATGATCAAGATCATATAGCACTGGATGACAGGATGATTAACAAATGTGGAGGGGTTGATGGAATAAAAACTGGCAGGAGAAACGGAGATACTACAAAACATCCTGCCCCAGTGCCACTTTGCAAAATTCCTCCCTTGCCACCCACATAATACTCCACTCTCCCTTCTCCCCAGCTCTCCTGATTGGCTGCAAGCAATCTGAATTAAAGCAAGAGCTAGGAATTGAAACTGGGTGAAGTGAGTTGAGCGTATTACAACGAAAAAAAAATTTTTTTGGTCTCACATGTAATGAGAGGTACCTGTACATTTAAATGTAACTCCTAACAGGTACAAACATTGTATTAGAATACAGGTGTAAACCAGACAAGAATTATGAACATCATATTTAATACTTCAAAAATGAAAAATTGAAGTGTAATGCACTTTCTGACTGCTGAAGGAGTAGGACGAGAAATTCTTCGTGGCATGTCTGTTGTTTACAGGGAACACAGCATGTCACTCACGTTTGTGTGTGCTGGCGTGGCATAAGAGATTACGAGAGGGACGTGTGTCACTGCAAAATGATGCTGGCCCAGGACAGGCTTATTGTGTCATCACTCCTGATGTTATTGCTGCGTTGGATGGCAGGCAAACGGATGGATCACAGTGGAAGAAATTAGTCTTTTCATGGGAATAAGTCATGATTCTGTACACGCCATTGTGACAAAACACCTGCTGTACCACAAAATCTGCACGCACTGGGTTCCACATCAACTCACGGAGGAACAGAAGACTCAGAGAATGGCTACATCACTGGGTCACTTGCAATGATACCATGAGGTAGAGTATGCTTTTCTGTCCCGTACTGCCACTGGGGACGAAACTTGGTATCACCATTTTGAACCTGAGTGCAAATGGCAGAGCCAACAGTGGAAACATGTGAATTCTCCCCCAATGAAGGAGTCCAAAGCCATACACACAAGTTCCGGTAAAGTGATGACATTCTTCTTTGACTGCAAGGGCCCTCTGCTTGTTGAATTTCTCGAGCATGGGGCCACAATCAGTGCACAGCGCTATGAAGACNGCTTTTTCAGGGATGGGACTAACCATCTTATCTCCCAGTGGGATAAATGTATTAACAGTTTTGGTGATTACTTTTGAGGTACGAAATTTTCTTTAATATGTTTTGGCTTGTGACCCATTTTCATTTGACTGCCCCTCATATATGTTTGCCCAGTCTTCTCTTTCTTGCTTTCGTCACCCTGATACTATTTGTTGAGGAGTATAAATTATGAAGCTCCTAATTATATAATTTTCTCCATCCACCTGATATATCTTTCTCGCACCCTGTTCTCAACAATCTCAATAAGCAACATCTAAAGTGTACGAACATGGTATACTAATATAACTACTGACTTTTTGGGCATTGTCAATACATGTTTCTCTCTCAGAGTAACAGCCCAAGTTTCATAATGACATGAAACATCAAGAAAAGTATAGTTCAGCATGTTTTAATCTTTAGGTTTTAGACAGCAGACACCATGAAAAGAAAGATTTAAAAACAGTAGTAAGCACTTCACTACTCTAGTACAAACACAAAATTAATTCTGTATTCTCACCTGCCATGGTTTTGATTCCTGGCATGCGTAGATCCTTATCTCCCAAATTACACATGTATCTCAACACTTTCGATCGAAGTGGCACAAACAACTGCATGATGGAGCGGAAGTTAAGCCACAGTTTCAGGTTGCAAACAATTGCAATTATGGCATGAGCTATGGACACAGGAAGAGTTTCTGGGCTCTGACGTTCAAAACAGAAAGTCATGGCATGCACACCACCACTCTTGCAGAACAGACATACATTACGTAATAGATACACAGGAATTTCAGGATCATGAAGATCACAGAAAACATTCAAATTTCCAGCCTCCTGAGCGGATAGCTCCTCCATTTTTGACTGAACACTATGTTTGTAAGCAACATACAATGGAAAATTCAGAAGAAACACCTTTGAAAGAAAGTGTAATAATTTTTCTTTTTCTTGCATGCTCCATACTTCCTCCTCCTCCTCCTCCTCTTCTTCGTCTTCTTCTTCATCTTCCTTCTCTTTCCCAGCACCTTCATCAACCTTCCCTGACTGATTTGAATTTGCCTTTCCCACTCCACTTTTGAAAGTATCACTACTACCACACCCCTTTTGGTCCTGTTTCTTTTCCAAATCACTTCTATCTTTCACATCACCTTCTGCTATAGATCTACCACTCTCAGAACTATTTGTAGCAATGATGGCTTTCACTTGTTCTGACTTATCTCCCACAACACTTTTTACATGCGAAGTGTTATCACCTCCCTTATTACCATCTGAACAACTTTCATTACTTAACTCTCGCTCATTTTTCAACAAGGACTTAGCCTTAACTAAATCCTCCCGTAGTTCTTTCAATTGACATACTGCCAGGCACAATATACTCTGAGTAATCAGGTTAAATCTTTCAAAGTTCTTTGGATCACGGAAACAGCACATACACTGTCTGAAAATAAACAATTAAAACATCACAACAGTAAGCAAACAACATCTTCTGAAAACTACCAAGTAATGTTATGTTCCTAAACTCTCGACTGGCAGACTAGCAACTCCTATAAGAGTTGCATGTGAGCCACAGGAACCAACCTGGGATTGATGCTATTCTGTGCACATGTTGAACTACCCCAAGGCAACATACAGAAGGATGTCTGAGATTAACCCCAAGATTTGAAGACATATTTTGGGACCCAAACAAAACAGAACATTGCGGACAGCAACACTGAATGGCAAAATACTTCTTGCATGAAGCAATGTAATGCAATGCACGTGTGAAGAAGCACTTTGGCAATGTTTATCATTCCAGGTTTCCCAAAAGTCTGTGCAAGTTATCCTACATGCTCATTTTCCAGGTCTGGGTAGGAAGATATAACCCATTCCATGGCAAATTCAACATGGCATGCCATTTTCCTGTGAAGTTACATAAGGATACTGACAATTTTCAGCAAACAGAAACAGTGACACATGCACTGCTAACCAGAACGTAGACTGAGCTTGAATATCTTGATGTTTGCTGGGCTGTGAATGGGACCCTACCAAGTTGTGCTGATTCATAATCATTATCTTACAATGTGCCATGTTGAACTTTTTTCAATCATATTAATATCTATGCAGTGTTGCATTGGGCTAATTCATGTATCTGATGTGTTGTGCAATTCAGTTTTCCTACCTACATCATTCATCCTACCTATGTCAATAAATATTATGTTACAAAACCCCTGAAGTTATTTCTCAAACATAATATATACATATAGATAGCAGCTCTGAATGTTGTTAAAAGATATGACAGTAAGTACTACAGTAGCTCGTATTGATTTTAACCAAACAGTTGCAAAGAAAAAAAGAGAGAGAATAATATCACTTTGGTTCCAAAGTATGCTCTCCTACCATGCCTTGCATAAATATAATTCAATAACATCACTTTATATTCTAATGCCATTTAACCTACAGGTACTCCTTGACTTATGCAATGGATATGTAAAAAAAGAGTTGCAGAGGGTAAAATCACATCAATTGGACATAAAATTCCCCACGAGAATCAATGAAAATGTCCAAAATCTGCTACAAAAAATACCAGAATATACTTGCTATTACTTAAACTGTCTTGCATATGAGAGTACATAATTTTATTTTAATAATATTTATGTAATTTCAGTAAGAATAAAATTGTTTATAATCATCTGCTTTGAAGAACCACTGCTTAAGATATGCGATGGTGTGTCACTGAAATGTGTGTATTGAGTCAAGATCACTTGCCCAATTGTCTGCACACTGTTTCCCTTGCTCTTTCTTTTACATTAGGAAATGTACAACACGCTGAATTTTAAACAGTGTTGAACAGTTTATAGAACACAGAACACTCTGTATTATAATAAAGCAACAATAAAAATTAACAGTCTTGAATCTCATGGTAGAGGGTTTGCTGAATGACTGGGTTGGTGACCTAATGGATTGTTCATTGACTTGCAAGGGGAGATAGTTGAAAATGATGATAAAGCATGTGATTGAAGTGGCAGAGCAGGGGAAAGGATTGGTTAAAATGGATCAGTAACATTGAAGTATTCATGGGCACTGAAGCTGATGGCAAAATCTCACTAGGGGTATTGGTGGACATGCTGGCCTTGACTCCTTTATAAAAATCATCCATCTTCACTTGCTCCCCAGCCTCTAACTTCTCAAGCAACCATAGATTGCAGAACAAACATGCCTGAACAAAAAAACGTCCCTTCTGTCCTTGAATTACTCCATCACCTCCCACACAATACAGTCTGCATTACCCCTCATCCCTGCCAATGCATTAGAGTGAGCGATATTAACTGAAATTGGTCTGAATTAACTAATTACATTACAATGAGATCATTTTTTAACCTTCACATTCATCATGGAAATCTCTGCATTTAGACATTTTGTCACATTGCAACACATATATGTGTATAGATACATCACACTCCAAATACTTACCTTTGAGACCATGATTGAATATACACAAAAACTGTCTCAACTTCATCTTTTCGAAGAACTGGTCGTTCATCTGATTCTTTAGAAACCTTTTCTTCATCTGTAACAATGTGGTCATCATAGAAACATTCAGAACCATCTTATATATAGAGACAGAAAAGGAATATGGAAAGAAGAATAAAATAACATTCATATTAAAGAAAATAATGACATAACAGACATCAGGAAAAAGTAACACTAATCATTATGCATATTTCAAATGACATCTCAGAAAATGATGTCACACTGCATTACACTGGAGGCCCCAGGAAACTATTAGCGACAATTTCCAGTTGCCTGTATGTTTATACCTAGGTGAGAGGTGTTTCTGCTCTGGTCTTCAGTAATTCATCGTCCACTGCAAGTGGGTGAGCATATTTCTAGAGCACTGATCATAACCCATTATTTCACTGTGATAGCAGAATTTGAACTATTTCCTGTTAAAACCTGAAAATTTTTGCAACGGTGTCTTTTGTGCTCCTTCATTAGGAACAATTTCAGCAGAATATTGTCACATGTGGGCCAAAATACAGAACAGCGGAACGAAAAGAGGTGGTAACTGCTAGGTGGCAGCATGGTGAACATGTTTCCGCAGCAATGAAGAGGTGGTCACTGCTAGGCGGCAGCATGGTGAACATGTTTCCGCAGCAATGAAGAGATGGTCACTGCTAGGCGGCAGCATGGCGAACATGTTTCCGCAGCAATGAAGAGGTGGTCACTGCTAGGTGGTAGCATGGTGAACATGTTTCTGCAGCAATGAAGAGGTGGTCACTGCTAGGCGGCAGCATGGTGAACATGTTTCCGCAGCAATGAAGAGATGGTCACTGCTAGGCGGCAGCATGGTGAACATGTTTCCGCAGCAATGAAGAGGTGGTCACTGCTAGGTGGCAGCATGGTGAACATGTTTCTGCTGCAATGAAGAGGTGGTCACTGCTAGGTGGCAGCATGGTGAACATGTTTCTGCTGCAATGAAGAGGTGGTCACTGCTAGGTGGTAGCATGGTGAACATGTTTCCACAGCAAAGAACCAACATATAAGAACAAAGAAACTGTTGGATACAGGTCATCTTCAGAATCCTTCAGAACCTACCAGCAGTTCAGTTCAGTTGAGAGTTGCATGTGAGCAGTGCCACTTTGCAGCGAGGAATCTCCACTGTTAGCAGTCACTAAATAACAAAGACCAGTGACAACAGAATAACAAATAAAAGACTTTGTGTATGCTGCAGTTGTAGTAATTTTTGAGTGTGTAAATAAGTGATACTGTTACAATTATTTGTAGTTACAAGTTATAAGCATTTAATAAATCCAATTATCAATCCAAACTCCATGTCTTACCACTAACATATGACGATACTACACCCGAATGCAATAAAATTATAATATGGAACTTCTTAAGCCGGGTATCGAATGTGCGCGGCTGCCACGCAAGGCAATGTTCGTTGTTTTGCCTCACAAAGTCAATATCATGTTGCCGCGCACAGCAGAAACTTGGCGCATGTCAAGCCAAATCAGAGTAGTTCTTTGTCCCACAGCAAAGGGATATTAGTGTACTGTGCTCTTTCAGCTGAGACGGTCTTGTGGCATTCTGGTGTTTCTTTCAAAGCAAAATGGAGAATGGAATGTGTCTAGCTCTCAGACAGCTTTGTAAAGCTAAGGAGCTAGTGTGGAATTCAAAAAGTGCTAATTACCATAATGAAAGTATATACGAGAGCACATGGAAGGACACAGGTGATGAAATGAAAATGTCAGTTCATGATTTAAGAAAGATGACAACTTTATTGGCTTCATACAGAAGAGAAAGGTCCTGAATTAAGAAGTCTCACATAACTGGTTCTATATATGGATCCAGTCTCTTTTTTAGTACCCTTGTTAAAATTTTATATGCTGTTGGTAGTAATGATATACCTATATAGTTACTACGTGTTAATTTAACTCCTTTTTTAAATATGGGACAAATAATGCTCTTTCCCCAATCTTCTGGTATCTTTTCTTCTTCCCACACTTTATTTATAATTCTGTGGAGTGCTATTATTCCTTCTTGTCCTCCTGCCTTCAATAATTCTGCTGGTATGTTGTCTCCTCCTGGCGCTTTATTTAGTTTTTGTTCCTTTAATGCTTCTTCCACTTCTTCCTTTGTTGGAGGCTCTATTATCTCTTCCTCTTCCCCTTCTCCATCGTCTGTATTTTCTTCTTCATTGTCCTCCTTATCTTCCATATTCTGATTTTTTTATTTAATAATTGTTCAAAATATTCTTTCCATGTATTCATAATCTCTGTTTTATTATTTATTAGAAGCCCTTTTTGGTCTCAGATAAATTCTGTTTTTGGTTTGAAACCTTCTTTCATATATTTGATTAGACAAAAGGCATTTTTTGTTTTGTTATTTAAGTCTTCTTCCATTTGCAGTAATTGCTCATTTAGAAAGGCCCGTTTCTTTTTCCTGCAAATCTTGTTTGCTTTCCTTCTTGCTTCTTTATACGCCTCATTTCTTGCTCTTGTTGGTCTTTCCATATATTCCTTATATTTCTTATTCTTGTGGTTTATATTCTCCCTGCAGTCCTCGTTGAACCATTCTCTATTATCCTGTTTCTCTTGATATCCCAGAGTCCTCTCGGCTTCTGTAATTATTGCGGTTTTAAAATCTACCCATATCCCTTCTGCCGTTACTTCTTTATTTGCTCTGTTGTCATTAATTTCTTTAATTTTATTTTGAAATGCTTCTCTCTTATCATTCTCCGTAGTCTTGCCAATATTAAATTTCTTACATTTCTCATGCTGCTTAGATCTCTGACAACTTATTTTACATCTATATTTAACCTGTACTAAGTAATGATCACTATCACAGTTGGCCCATCTTAATGTTCTTACATCCAGGATATTTGTTGCAAATCGCTTCTCTATGAGGACACGATCTATCTGATTGAAGGTTACCCCATCTGGTGCTGCCCATGTTCTTTCATGTATATTTTTGTGCAGGAAGTACACAGAACTGATGATCAAGTTCTTACTTTCTGCAAAATCTATTAATTTTATTCCATTAGGGTTGGTTGTATCATGTAAACCTTCTGTCCCAATTACTCCTCTGTATTCCTTCTCTTTACCTATTTTGGCATTAAGATCGCCTAAAATAACCTTTGTGTCATTACTTGGTATTGAATCATATGTCTCTTGCATTTGTTGATAGAAATAGTCTTTGACCTCCTCTTCTTTTTCTTCTGTAGGTGCATGTACGTTCATCAACGTCATATTGAAAAATTTTGTTTTAATTCTCAAAGTGCAAATTCTTTCACTTATTGGTTTAAAGACTACTATTGTGCTTTTAAATTCTTGTTCTATTACAAAAGCTACACCAAATTCCTTATTGCCTTCTGCTTTACCACTGGAACATACAGTGTGTTTCTTTAAGTCCATGATTCCCTTACCCAGCCATCTAATTTCCTGTATGGCTGTGATTTTCATATTGTACTTATCTATCTGTTCTAGTACCGATTTCATGGCACCCGGTTTATTGAGGATTTTCATATTCCATGTACCTAGAGAGTAGTCCATATTCTTTGCCAATTGTCGTCTTCCATTCTGTTGAGGTTTCCGAGGCTTGATTCCAGGTTTTGAGACATTTATATTTTTTATAGTGAGAGGTCATCAGCCTCTCACCCAACCCCCAAACTGGAGGACCAGGGTATCTCTTTTAGTCTGGGTCATACCCTTCAACCTGCCCGGCATGGGTGGCCCTACCAGTAGCTATGCTACCACCAACATAGCTCTCAGGGTCATTTGACCACGCAAGCTCCTCCACTACGTCAAAGTGGAGACACCATCGGGGGGACTCTGCTACCACAATCTACCCCAAACTGGTTCAGGAATGTTCATATCCTTATAACCTGTTTTCCAAATAATACTCATACAACTAAGGGGCATGGAGTAATGTAGTTGGTTGAGGCTCTATGTTACAAGCTGGAAGGTTGTGGGTTTGATTTTCAATGAGGTCACTGGATTTTTTAATTGATATAATCCTTCAAGCCACACTATGGCTCAGTCTCCAACAGAAATGAGTACCAGGGATCTTCCTGTGGGGTAAAGGGAGGTTGGTATGTAATGCTGACAACCTCACCACCATCTGTGAGCCAATTGTCTAGAAAAAATGTGGGAACCTCCACCCCTTAGAACCCTATGGGCCTCCATGGCATGTTACAGGGATAGCTTTACCTTTTACCAATCCAACAAAGCCAGTCTTGTTAGTGGCCGCGCTATAGCTCAAGCGCTTAGTCGCTGGCTTCCCACCGTGGCGGCCCGGGTTTGATCCCAGGTCTGGTCAACTTGGATTTGTGGTGGACAAAGTGGCGCTGGGGCAGGTTTTCTCCGAGTACTTCGGCTTCTCCAGCCAATCTTCATTCCACCAAAATCTCCATCATCATAATCATTCGGGGCAGGCTACAATATGCCAAATAGTGGCCACACTGCCAAGTGGACCCAGTTGGACTCAACCCCCCACTAAGCGAATTAAGCCAGTCTTGTTAAGTGATCTTTGTCCCATTCAGTTCTCTAACCAAATTTTTTTGTTTTTCCCAATGCATGTGATAGCCAAAACCCATTCAAGCCTTAATTTAATCACCCTAATTAAATTGCACAAACTATGAAAATCATTCTGTGATTCTGTACTTCTTGTTTATAGGGATGTCATGTGCATACAAACATAATCTGGTTCAGACCTTTATAATTCCAACATAACTCAAATACACTGGCACATGACATAACTACAAAAGGCTTGTAATAATTTCTAAGTATGATTCATTCAATCCACCCACTAATATTCAAAATTACCGGGTTTTGGGACTTTGTCCATCATCTCATATTCTACAAAAACTAGAGAATGTGTTTCAGAAACTGTATCTGCTTCTGTCTTCAGGGCTCAAGAGAGTAGGAGTCTTTTCCCCTCCACCTAAAGATTTTGTGCTCTCTAAATTTCAGAACAGTGGTTCTCAACCTTTGTCAGACCACAGTAGAGTAAATTCTTTTTTCTGTAAGACAAGGGCCGGCTATAATTGATGTCAGGTTCCGGTACTGGGTTGTGGCACAGTGGATGAGAAACACCGTTTTAGAATACTGGACAATAGGCAAGTCCAAAAGCCCAGTGTTATACACCATCGCCAAAACCCTTTAGAATCTACCATCCATTATTAGTTAAATAATAATACGTTTGCCAGAAAAGCTCTCTCATGTACCGAAAACTGATAATTTTGTGGACTTTCATAACATCCAACCTACTTATACACCACTTACATTATAACACATAATAAACTTTTACCTTCTTTCATCTCAGAAGTTCACTTGTAGCGGAAACCATACTTCAGACCATTAAACTACTCTGTAAACAGTAATGAAAGTAAACAACACAGAGCACAACACACTGATGCTCCATAAATGTTGTCTTCACTGAAAGAAACGTTACGCCTCTCCTGCCGGTAACAAATTGTGGTTTATTTCGTGTAATACACACCTGCTTACAAACGGCAAAATAATGGCATACCACAGTGCCCAGCATCTACTGTTGTGTTTATGATGTTTTCCAGTATGTTACATGTTCTTCTAATAGGTTACATTGACGATATACATAAGCATGCACAACAAACTAAGAAGGCAAATTGTAAACATAAACGATAAGGAAATTATCGTATTATGTTTCATGTCAATTACTGTCTCGGACGTACTGCCTGTAACACCGAGCCATTTACCCCTTATCCCTTTCACATTTCTCCTCCCTATTTTCGAACATACTTACACGATTGTAGCAGATCCAAGAATTCAGCGCATACATCGCACATCTTCTATTTCAATTATAAAGTACAGCCCATAACTTCATGAAAGATCTGTTCCTTTAAAAATGCTTTATTTAATTATTATGCATTCTTATTTTCTGTAACTGTACTGCTTTATAAGTACCACATACATTTAGACGCCATATTGCATTGTACTCCAAGCCTATCAACTTATTCACAAAGACATTGCCAAGCGCCGTCAGTGCGGGAAACATAATAGTCCGACTTTCGCTGTGTTATAAATGCCACTAGGACCAATGAGACAGATGTTTCCTTAAATTCCCTCAGAACGAAAAGAGAATATTGGTTTAAGATAGGTGCTTAGGTGAAAATTTTTTTTTATTGCTAGTGGGGTGGGTCTAAGTCCTTTGTACTGCAGCCACTTCTGGCCTATTGTACCAGCCCCAGATGGTAGGTGACGGGGATTGTGGAGCAATTGGTGGAATGAAGATTGGCAGGGGAAACCGAAGTACTCGGAGAAAACCTGCCCCAGCGCCACTTTGTCCACCACAAAACCCACTTGAACAGACCCGGGATCGAACCCGGGCCGCCGCGGTGGGAAGCCAGCGACTAACTGCTTGAACTATGGTGCGGCCAAGGTGACTATTTTTGAGTTAGGAAGAGAAATTACAGAAGAATAAGGCGCTTAAAATTTTGTACTCTTCACCAGTTACTACCAAAGGAAACAAAACTAGGAGGAAAGATGAGCATGGCATGTAGTGAGATGAGAAAATGTTAGTCAGAAGCCTTGAAGGGAAAAGAAAAGTTGGCACACACGTATATGTAGACGGAAGCATAGAAAGGAACAAATTGACTGTATGGGCAGTAAACAAATTTTTCAACCTGGGCCCTCTTAGTACTCTGCTATTCTTTTAAATTAAAAATAACTTAAAATTTATCACCAGCACAAAACTTATTTATATTGTAAGATTTGAGGCTTTCACGGCGGTGACTATGAAGAAAGCAGTCTTCTTACACGGCGCCAAAGCCCAGAAGACTGCTTTCTTCTTATTTATATTATTATTAGCAAAATCTAAAAATTATCTGATATTAAAATTATTTCTGAAAACATAGTATTAAGCTTTAATAAAGTTAGACAAGAATTATGAAATGCCAAACGTACCAACGAGAAAAGTACGTACAATCGCTGTGTGCTTGCTGCTCAGGTTTAAGACTCAAACTTTCAAGCTGAACAAGCCATTAAATACCTTCAAACACTGGAATTGAATTTCCCTCTGGTTTTTATTTCCTTAAAATCATCCATGAAACCGTTAACATTTATCTACCTCAAAATTTAATTTTCTATTATAATTAATGCTAAAAATTGTAATTGATTTCGTTGCACTGTGGAACATAACTCCAACATTGTNTAGGACCAATGAGACAGATGTTTCCTTAAATTCCCTCAGAACGAAAAGAGAATATTGGTTTAAGATAGGTGCTTAGGTGAAAATTTTTTTTTATTGCTAGTGGGGTGGGTCTAAGTCCTTTGTACTGCAGCCACTTCTGGCCTATTGTACCAGCCCCAGATGGTAGGTGACGGGGATTGTGGAGCAATTGGTGGAATGAAGATTGGCAGGGGAAACCGAAGTACTCGGAGAAAACCTGCCCCAGCGCCACTTTGTCCACCACAAAACCCACTTGAACAGACCCGGGATCGAACCCGGGCCGCCGCGGTGGGAAGCCAGCGACTAACTGCTTGAACTATGGTGCGGCCAAGGTGACTATTTTTGAGTTAGGAAGAGAAATTACAGAAGAATAAGGCGCTTAAAATTTTGTACTCTTCACCAGTTACTACCAAAGGAAACAAAACTAGGAGGAAAGATGAGCATGGCATGTAGTGAGATGAGAAAATGTTAGTCAGAAGCCTTGAAGGGAAAAGAAAAGTTGGCACACACGTATATGTAGACGGAAGCATAGAAAGGAACAAATTGACTGTATGGGCAGTAAACAAATTTTTCAACCTGGGCCCTCTTAGTACTCTGCTATTCTTTTAAATTAAAAATAACTTAAAATTTATCACCAGCACAAAACTTATTTATATTGTAAGATTTGAGGCTTTCACGGCGGTGACTATGAAGAAAGCAGTCTTCTTACACGGCGCCAAAGCCCAGAAGACTGCTTTCTTCTTATTTATATTATTATTAGCAAAATCTAAAAATTATCTGATATTAAAATTATTTCTGAAAACATAGTATTAAGCTTTAATAAAGTTAGACAAGAATTATGAAATGCCAAACGTACCAACGAGAAAAGTACGTACAATCGCTGTGTGCTTGCTGCTCAGGTTTAAGACTCAAACTTTCAAGCTGAACAAGCCATTAAATACCTTCAAACACTGGAATTGAATTTCCCTCTGGTTTTTATTTCCTTAAAATCATCCATGAAACCGTTAACATTTATCTACCTCAAAATTTAATTTTCTATTATAATTAATGCTAAAAATTGTAATTGATTTCGTTGCACTGTGGAACATAACTCCAACATTGTGCTCTTGAGTTTGAAAAGTGATCTTCTGCTTCAGCCATGGACACATAATATATTTGGCCATCTCCATCCTAGTGACATCCAGCATAATTATTGAAAACATGCTATAGGATATCAAGTCAGCATATGTAGTCTCTACAGACATTTGAAATAGCATGGGTAAATACTCGTATAAGTTGATGGTACCCATGGATCAGTACACTACTGATACGTACATGGTAGGTGACCCCGACATCAGGAGGCCCTCGGGAAGCCTCCAATGTTGCATAATATATAAAGTGGCCTTGCATGTACTGAGGCTGTCTTCCATTGACTGTGTATCCCCTGCCTAACATTTGGATGTGAAGCTGTCCTACACCTCAAATAGAAGGCAGGGCCTTGCTTAATGGGTTCATCCATATTGTGATGAGTGTCCAATGGTGGGCACTTGTGAGTACGTAACATGAGATTTTAAGTTTCATAAATGGCAGAGAAATTCTTAACTAGCTGAGACTAGCAAGGGACTGAAATTGAAAGGGACACACCATCTGCTGTTCAATGCTGATGATGCAATTCTGTTGGGAGATAACACAGATATCATAAAGAAAAACACAGAAACTCTGACCGACACTAGTGAGGAGGTTTGTCTGGAAGTAGATGCACAGAAAATTAAGTATACATTGCTGTTTCATCACCAGATCTCTTTGTGATTCATACGTGGAAGTTTTTTTATTATTAGTCAGCAGTATGCAGCAGTTATCAGCCCCATTAGCCATCTGTTCTGTTACAGTTAGTGTGGTATGTCATCATGCGGTATACTTTACAGCAGTGTGTATTTCTGTATGACACCTATGTGAAACACGGATCTGCTACAAAGTGTCAGCATACATTTTGTGATGAGAAACTTCCCAGCAGACAAACAATTTACAATTTGAAGAAAGCAGTCTTCTGGGATTTGGCACCGTGTATATGTGGTGTTAACTGACGTTTTGGAGGAACGTATCACCTCCATCTTCAGGTTAGAAGAAAAAATATAAGAAATCTGCAAGCGAAGAGACCGTGAGAACCGGTAAATGCAGTCTGCTTTTACCGGTTCTCAG